TACATATAATTAATAAATACTGTAGAAATTAGTTAATGATAACTAATACATTACCTAATGTTAATAAAACATATTGTAAAGTTTTTTTTCCCCCTATTTCTTAATAGCCAAGTGTGTACTTTTTGTGTCTCTAGTGGCACCAAACTGAATTGCAAAAATAATCACTTTAGTTATTTGAAGCAGAAATCTTTTTTTTTTTCAACATTATAAATGTTTCTACTGTCACTTTTGGTTAATTTAATGCATCCTTATTTAATAAAAGTATTAATTTCTTAACATGTCTTATGCTTTATAGCTATACAAATGTTTTGTTTTTTTTTGCAATCAGCATTTTATTATTTTAATATAAATGTTATAATTGTATATATTTAATTTCTTTAATATGTCGTTTTTTGCCATCTCAGGTGCTTGTAAATGACGGTTCAGTGTTGATTAGATATCTAATTCAACATTACGCTGCGGAGCTCTGCTGTAATTATATTATCCTTATGATTATTCGTTCTGAGCGCTGTTTTCTTTCACCTGGAAGAGCCATTTAATACACTGAGATTTTTGAGTCAGATAAGTTCAAACAGAAAAATGAAGCTGTTGCATCAATAAGCATTTTGAATAGATTGGTTGCTATGCCAAACCAACCAGAGTCGCTCTGTGCATGTGAAGAAGGTAAACAAAGACACGCAATGGACACATTTCATTACACCAAATACACAAAATAATGTTCTTTTTAGCAGCATCATATGACCCCTTTAATATTACAGTAGATGAATGTTGAGAAGAAACACAGCTTGATCAGTCCAAGAGCTGCCCATTGAGACAGGTTTGTAAAATGACCAACAGTTTGTTTTGGTTTTATGTCCCATTTAGATGCAAGATCTGAATTGATGATGCCACGATGATGGACTGGTGTTGAAGTATTTGGTCTGCGAACAGTTTTACAGAAAAACAGTTTTACACTTAAAAAATGCCAGAACAATGCATGCAGACATACCTACCGTTTAAAAGTTTGGGGTTGTTTTTGAAAGAAGTCTCTTCTGCTCACCAAGGCTGCATTTATTTGATCAAACACAATAAAAACAAGCAAAATTGTGAAATGTTATTTCAGTTTTCTATTGTAATATATTGTAAAATGTAATTCATTCCTATGATGCAAAGCTGAATTTTCAGCATCATTACTCCAGTCTTCAGTGTCACGTGATCCTTCAGAAATCATTCTAATATACTGATTTACTGCTCAAGAAACATTTCTGATTATTATCAAAACTTATTTGTAACATTATAAATGTATTTACTGTCGCTTTTGACAAATATAATGCATCCTTGCTAAATAAAAGTATTAATTTCTTTTAAAAGGTCCGACCCAAAACTTTTAAAAGCCAGTGTAACAAAGCAGAATGTGGTCGTTGATATCTCGTTTATTTGATGCACTGCAGCAGCAAGGTCGATTGCCAGGACTGAGTTCTGTATCCTGCTCTACAGGAAGTAAAGCTCCTCTGCGCTCCAGCAAATCCCAGCTGTCCTCATGGAAACCAGATACGGGATCCAAATGGGAGCGAATCTCTTAGTTAGTGTTTGCACTGAAAACCGGCTCAAGAAATTGAGTTATACAGAGTGAATGAACAAATCATCATCTGAATCCCAGACAAAGCAAAGGCACAATGTTGAAGTGAAACACAAACAATTGAAGTTAACTCTGTAAAACTGGATTCTATTGTGTTCTATATAGTAAATGAGTACTGATACAGTACTTGTCAAATGTTTGGAAACATTATGATTTGAAATGTTTTTAATGAAGACTCTTCTGCTCACCAAGGCTGCATTAATGTGCTCTAAAATACAGAAAAACACCAAAAATGTGAAATATTATTATAATTTAATATAGCTGTTTTCTGTTTAAATATATTGCAAAATGTAATTTATTCCTGTGATCAAAGCTGAATTTTCAGCATCATTACTCCAGTCTTCAGTGGCACATGATCCTTCAGAAATCATTCTAATATGATTTTTGTATATTAGTAAACAAATGCAATAATACACTAGCTGATTAGCCTGTTTTCCTTCATTCATGATCCAAAGCTTCCTATTCAGATTATTCATCTTAAAAAAAAAAGCTTAATGATGTTTCATTTGATGTGATTTATGGAGGCATATGTTCAGTTGGAGCTTCTCAGTGTCCGTGAGGCGTGTAGCAAGTGTCTCACTGTGCAGTTGTCCGCTGACTGATGGGCCGCTTTGAGCTGTAACAAATGTCCAGAGTCCGATGGTCATTTGATGTGGAAGATGTTCGATGAGGCTCATTAATCATGTTAGGTTTTCAGGGCCTGAGTCAATGTTTCTACAGAGAGCAGGTCAATAGAAAAGCCTTTGAAGGATCCCTGAACTCGATCCAGGAGCTGTGTTTGTGTTGTCTGATGGACTCTGTGAACATCAGTGTCTGGGAATGTTACTTTAAGTTATGTGTTATATTATTGCATGACCAATGATGTCAAATTGTTCTTTTTTATTTTATTTTATATATTTTTTTATTTTGTATTTTATTTTTATTTTTATTTATTTTTAATTTAATTTAATTTAATTTAATTTTTTTATTTTATTTTTAATTTATTTTTTCATTTAATTTAATTTCATTTAATTTCATTTCATTTCATTGGCACAGTGCAAATCCATACATTATATATTTGTTGTCGTTGTCTAACACAGTGTTTCCCAACCTTTCTTTAGTCGCGGCACCCTTTGGAAATTTTAACAAATTTGTGGCACCCTACAAAATTAATTTTGTCACAATATTTGAATTTCTAACTTCGATATGATACTTTGAAAAGTCCTGAGCGGTGAACTCATTTTCGGCAGCCGGAATTTCAGTGCATCTCTAATTATTGGCGACATCAGAAATGGATATTATATAATAGCTGCTTTTTTGAACATTTTAGCAATTTAAAAATATTAAAAAAAGATTTTTTTACACGGCACCCCGGTTGGGAAACACTGGTCTAACAGACAAAATGTTATTTTAGTTATTTTACTTTATTATTTTTTATTTTATTTTATTTTGATGCAAAAGGCAAAGTGCAAGTCCATACATCATCATTTGCTGCCGCTGTCAAACAGACAACCTTTTTTTTTTTTTATCCATGCATAACCACTAACACTAGTGAACACATTTACAACATGGTATTACTTGATAACAAAAATCAAATCGTACATGTAAATTTCTCTATGATGTTGTTAGATGCTGTCTCTCTGTTTATCCACTTTGATATTCTGTAGCGCATAGATGAAATATCTGCTTCGGAAAACAGGAAGAGAGAGGGATGAGTAGGAGACCTTTGGGTACATTTCAGCACGCACAGAGGTCTGATTAGCTACTTGCGAATTATCTTTCTCTTTCCACAAAGTAAACCCAGGAGGTTTCATGCGTAACTGCTGTTGGGTTTTAGACAAACCCTCTGGACAACCAAGTGCCAGAAAGTCTAATCTAAAAATCTACTGAACAAACACTGTAATATATGGAGGAAATATGTGTAAGGCAAAGATTAACCTGCTTTTTTGTCAAGTCAAGGTACATTTTTAATATAGAGCACATTTAAAACAATACATATTTACCAAAGTTCTTTACTCTGGCAATTTACTCTCTCTCTCTTACTCTAATCTCTCTCTCTCTCTCTCTCTCTCTCTCTCTCTCTCTATATAAATACTCATGTGAAGTGTACGGGGAGTGACATGTTTAAGACATGAACAGGAATATACATATATTTCCTATATACATATATCGTCTATTTAGGAATATACACATATTTCCTCATTTTAGTTAAATTGTCTCGGGTGAATAAAGGCCTTCTGTAGTGAATCCATGCGTTTTTGTAAGAAAAATAGCCATATTTCAAACGTAATAAACACTTTTATATCACTTCCGCCAACTGTCATACTCTGAAGCAGTTCCGGCGGATGATGTAGCACGTCAGCGTTGCGTGATTAGTGATGAATGCGGAGAGAGAACAAAACAAAACGCCGGTAACGAATTAGAAATACAAACCGAGGATTTGCAAAGAAAAATGTCGGAGGATTTCGATATAAACCAAGAGAAGACTGGTTTTCCTTTGCTAAAGTAAGGAAACTTTGCTTCCTTTGCTCCTATAAACAAACTCGCGAGACTAGCATACCTCAGAGGCGCGTGCGCTGCGCATACGTGCTGCGTCATCCGCCGGAACTGCTTCAGTGTATGAGAGTCATCCTACACACACGTGACTGACCGCTCGCTCGCACCAACAGGAGGAGGAGGGTCGTGTTACTCTCTACACTGCACTCAACCTGAGGGATTCCTACACTTTCAGTCTTTGAGGAGACATGAAAAACAGCCCATACTGCAGGAACGGTATAACGGAAATAACGGTATAACGGTAATCGGCCCATGCCTAACACATGCCAGGCCCCTCCACCACTCAATCAGTTCTAGCACCCGCACCTGCACCGGATTAATCATCAATCAACTCATATAAACACACCTCGCAGCCAGTCTTTGTCTGATCTCACTTTGAGCAACGGACTGATATCAGCTTTTCCACGTCATACTCCAAAGCTCCTATCTCCATTGTTTTCCAAGCCCCAGTCTGTCTCCATCGTATGTATACCCTTACCTAGACTCTCTTCGACATCAAGCCGAGGTGTGTGCACATCACTAACTCTGTTCTCGTCACCTGCTCCGTGTCTACGATTTCCTATCAACCTGCAAGGTAGTAACCACCCTTATTTCAGTATTCATCCATTCATCCTGCTATATCAGCTCTACTTACCTCCATCTGTTGTTTACATATTGCTGCAATAAATTTAAACTGATATATATATATATATATATATAGTGAAGTATGTAATTTTGTGTGTGTCTCCAGTGGCCCTAAATGGAATTGCAAAAAAAAAAAAAGATCACTGATCTCAGATAACGGCTTTTGTATTTTTTAACTTTCACAAGCTTCTTCAAATGTTGTATTGTGATTCTCCCCTTGCAGATCTTCCATATGACGTATGACATGGCGAGCGCAGTGATGCGGATTTTTAACCTGATAGCGATGATGCTGTTGCTGTGCCACTGGGACGGGTGCCTGCAGTTTCTGGTGCCCATGCTGCAAGACTTCCCCTCCGACTGCTGGGTCTCCCTCAACAAGATGGTGGTATGTTTTTAACTTTCTATTTTTATTTTTTTCATGAATGCACCTTTGCACATACATAACAAAAGACTGCAGGGAATGAGACCATCTGCCAGGCCGACTCAGCATGTGCCACGAAACAATACAGCACCCCACAATGCTAATATTAAGAAAATTGGTTCACAAAGCGAATATCCAAGTAGGGTAATTGAATTGAATGAAATTTAATTCTATTAACCTGAATCTATTTGCTGATATTACCTGATTCTCATTGACCAGCTAAATTAAGGTTCCCAGTTGGTGTCTGTTGGATTCAGATGTTGTCTGCTACATCTAATAATGTTTATTTTTTCAGGATGAAATTTATCTACGTCATGCACAAGAAGAAAACTTTATTTCTCAGAGGTTGTTCTTTAATAGCTCAGGAGACTTAATGTTTTCAGTTTTTGTCTTAAGTAGTTGTCACAGTAAAACTATAGAGATATACTTCAACTCAGATAATTTGATGAGACATGTTTGAATTCATATTGACTCTAGAGGAGACACGTGAGATTACTGGGGTTTTTCTCTCAGGAGAGAAACATCTAAGAAGCAGGAGACTTTAAGAAAAGTCTCCATTTGTTCTCCTTTTAATCTCGTTGCCTAGGAAAGCAATTGAAGTATTTGAGGTATTGCATTTTTTAGACATTATGTTTGCGATATAATGTATCTTTGCAAAATGAGCATAGTTTGAGATATTGTTGAGATCTCATCTGAAACTCTGGAGGAGACACATTTGAAATTACTTTTCTTAGGAGAAACAGCTGAGAAGCAAGAGACTTCAGAAGAGTCTCAATTTGTTTTCTATTTAATAGCATTGTTATCTAGGAGAAACAATTGAGATATTTCAGGTTACAATTTTTCAATATTATGTTAGAGATGTATTTTTGCAAATCTGAGCACAGTATGAGACATTGTTGAGATCTCTTCTGAAACTTGAGGAGACACATCTGATTCCCAATTTGGAGATTCCCAATTTGTTCTCCATTTAATCACATTATTGTCTAGGAAAAGCAATTGAGCTATCTGAGATATTACAATTTTTAGATATTACGTTTGAGATATAACGTATCTGGAAATCTGAGCACAGTTTGAGACTGTTGAGATCTCTTATGAAACTCTGGAGGAGACACGTGAGATATCTTGAGTCTTTTTCTCAGCAGAAACATCTGAGAAGCTGGAGACTCAGTTTGTTCTGACTTCAGTTTGTTTGTTGTCTTGGCGCAACAGTTGAGGTGTTTGAGATATTACAATTTTTAGATATTATGTTTGAGATATAATGTGTCTTTGAAAATTCTGAGCACAGTTTGAGACATTGTTGAGATATTTTGAAACTCTAGTGGAGACCGAGGTGAAATTACTTTTTCTGAGAAGCAGGCTCTCTGCTCAAGTAAATAAGATATCAAATAGATCTCGTTTGTGATTTTTCTCTGTGACAGACGGTGAGGACTTCATCAGAGTCTCATCTCAGTTAAGTGATTTTCCCAGGTTTCTGTCTTTTTGTCTTCTTTAATTGAGTTATCCGCACTAGTCCTCTAGCTCATACAGCATCTCTCTATTGAAGTGTGAGATGAAACTATGAGTAAGTGTGTTGTTGCTCGGCTCTGGGCTGTTTGGTGTGGGTGAGATGAGACGGGGTGATGGCAGTGGACATAAAAGCGTGTGTGTGTGTGTGTGTAAACGTTCAGGTTTAGAGATGTGCCAAAGCAGCTGTGCTCTTTGTACATCTCTCAAACAGACATGAAAGAACCTGTTTAGAGGGCACTCAAACACGACATAAAAGCGTGTGTGTGTGTGTGTGTGTGTGTGTAAACGTTCAGGTTTAGAGATGTGCCAAAGCAGCTGTGCTCTTTGTACATCTCTCAAACAGACATGAAAGAACCTGTTTAGAGGGCACTCAAACACCCCTGATACAAAAACATTTGGATAGTTCACACGAAAATGAAAATTCAGCTACTGTTTATTCACTCTTATGTTGTTCTGACCCCATATGCACTTTTACACACAACAGCTGATCTTAAAGGGTTCAGCTTCTTAAAGTTCATGTACTGTAAGTGATGTTTGTCAACTTTGCTAACTAATCTCTTCAACCACATGTTCTCAAAATCCCCTGCAAAGACATGGCAGCCAATCCGATATCAGCAAACCTGAATGTGCAAAGTGATTTGCAACAAGTTTTCTGTCACAGAAGTAAGAGTTACTGTATTTCTTGTAGGACAAGTGTTTCAGTGAAATATGACAGGTAGTAGAGATATCTTATGTGTTTTTTTATAACAACAACAAAACAGTTTTGAAGCAGTTTTAAAGTCATCATAAAATGCTCCAATGAAGCAGGACATTTAATGTGAAGAAAATCAGATGGGACTCCACACATTGGGAATTGTTTGCATGTTTGCACATCTCTATATAAGTTGATGGTTGCATGAAAGGAGTTTAAAAATAGGAGGACATGATGACATTAGTGAAAAAGAAAGTAGTTTGAAACACTGTTTTTGTTGTTTTCCAAACAAAACAAAGGTTTTCTAGAGCTAATCAATGTGTATATAATTATGTATTAGTTGTAAAATAGTTCTTTCAGAAATAATTATTCATAACCACCCCTTTTTCAGAAACAGCATTTAAATTTAACTTTTAGTGAAAAAAAATATTGGTTAAATAATTCTTACTTTGTGCTCATAGTTTTGATTAGTATACATCACATCCAGTTAGGCTTTTGGATAAGGTCTATTTGCAAAAGTTGAAATTATTTCAATGCACCTGAACCTCAAATTAGGTCCTAAAATTCATTTCCCATACTTTCCATTGGAAATGAATGATTTCCAGTCTGTTTTTTCTGGTCTATTTGTTGGAGATAGTGTAAAGGTGTGTATCAATAAGTATATAGGCTCAAATTTTAATGCATGTTGACTTTAAGAATACATAGATTCCATTTTTATTGTGTTATAGTTGATGTGATGCTGATATCAGTTTGTTTGATGTGTTGCACAGAGTTGTGTAATGGACGTTATTGCTGTTGTTTTCGCTCAGTCTCTGTGGATACAGAAGGTTTGTGATGATGCCACACGTGACATTAAGGTCACAGTCCCTCTGGGGATCAGAGAATGAGTGAAAGAATGTGAGATGGCAGTGAGGGCAGAAAGAGAGGAGAATTACGTAAACCGATGCAGGAGGAAATAGTTTCACATCCATAGCGCAAGTTCAGAGAACGAGAACTTGGTCTGTCACAATTTTTACACAATCCTCTGATTTCAATTGTTTGATCTAATTGCAATTATTTGAGATAATCACAATCATTGTGCACTTCAATTTAATCACATATTGACCTACAAATAAGGGTACTTTATGGGTTATTCTTTGAAATGGGTGCCATTTATGTTGCTGATATAGGCCTACATTATTTTAAAAGTTTGGGGTTAGTAGGATTTTTTTTTTTTGAAAGAAATTAATACTTGCATGTAGAAACGATGCATTAAAATGATCAAAAGTGACATTAAATACATTTACAAAGTTACAAAAGATTCTATTTCTAATGTTATTTTGAACTTTCTATTCATTAAAGATTCATAAAAAAACATTTCCACAAAAAAGAAAATTCCCACAAAAACAGCAAATCGGCATATTAGAATGATTTTTAAAGAATCATGTGACACTGCATGACTTTTACATATTTTTAAATTGAATAGAAACGGCGTAATTGTAACTTTATTAACACTTACATTTTTAAGTGTATTTTTTTAAGTACAATTATTTTCTATTAGAATGCTTAAAATAGAATTAAAAATTACATTATCTTTCATAAAATGGAAAAGGCACTGTTTCATTAAATGACCTTTATTAATTAAAAATATTTTTATTCATGTCATTCAGTGTAATATATAGTGAAAAAGTTCAATGTGAAAAAAGACTCGAGGTCTGTGTGAATTAAGCTTTTGCTGTAATAGATATGAGCAAATAAGACATACATGAACCATAGTTATTTAATTTAACAATTAAATGCCAGCCAATAACTGTGACAGTCCAATCTGAATCTGTCAGGAAAAAGGAACGTGCCACTGAAGACGATGAGAACACTGGAAGTAAATAAAATGGAAAGGGGAAGCTGGAATAGACGCAGGCTTTGGCCTCTGGAGAGCTTCTACACTGAGTGCTTGACATCTCGTATTATTAGTGTGCGCATACAGAAACAGACCATCCATTCATGTCATTCAGTGTAATATATAGTGAAAAAGTTCAATGTGAAAAAAGACTCGAGGTCTGTGTGAATTAAGCTTTTGCTGTAATAGATATGAGCAAATAAGACATACATGAACCATAGTTATTTAATTTAACAATTAAATGCCAGCCAATAACTGTGACAGTCCAATCTGAATCTGTCAGGAAAAAGGAACGTGCCACTGAAGACGATGAGAACACTGGAAGTAAATAAAATGGAAAGGGGAAGCTGGAATAGACGCAGGCTTTGGCCTCTGGAGAGCTTCTACACTGAGTGCTTGACATCTCGTATTATTAGTGTGCGCATACAGAAACAGACCATCCATCTTCAGTAAACGCATCCTAAAGGACGTCATTGATCTTACTGGAACTGCACACGCACATACTGGATCAACACGGAAACTTCCGTCAGCGTGTGAAGGCATGAAGGTTTTTTGGCAGTTTCTGACAGCACAGATTATGATGGATAGATTAGCATTTGAATATTTTCTATAACTCAGTTTATATAAAGGCAGTAAGATGTGAGGTTTTGCAGTCACATGTAGCAAACAGCAGGGAAGGAGATCGGGGGACGAATTTACGTGATATTAAAAGTGGGGGGGGGACACGTCCCCCGCGTAATCTTACGCCCCTGAGATCACTGTATGGAAAATCTTTTGAATTATTGTTCTTATGTGAATTATTATCGTCCGTGCTTCTCACTGAGGTTGATGATGTTGGTGATAAATCAAAGCATGCCGTGGCATCTGAACTGCACATGCAGTGAATCATCT